GGAATCTCAAACCTTTCATCTTTATTAAAGACCAGAACCTACCTTCCTTGATGCAGCATTTTTTCGCACCCTCTACATTGCATCATATCATTACATTTGCATATGCGTACCCAATTTCCATTCATGTGGGGGATTGTAGGAATTGGTTCAAATAATTAACCAAAAATTGGAAAATCAAAAGGTGTGTAAAAGTGGAAAATTAAAAGGTGTGATTACGTGTCAACTTCGACTAAATATTCGGATTTGATTCGATGGTCAAATTACAAAATTCAATGGACCAACTTATTTTACTCGTCGAGTCGATCGTCGTGGTATATTTCGAATCTCGAAACTAATTCCGGATGAATGAGAAAATTGCGAACAAAATTTGGAAGAAATGAAGTGTTGCAACTTTTCGAAAGGATGCAGGTTTTGGCCAAGTGTTACAACTTTTCGAAAGGATGTATGTTTTGACCCACACTACTTCATTTTCACCCTTTCTACTTCTATAAATAGAACCCTATGGACATGGTTTTGGGTACACCAATTACATTGAGCATTCATTCTCCTCTTGCAATTCTCTCCTTTCTAATTCCATAGCATTTTCATACATTTCCTTGGTAGGGAGGGAATTCCGTTCGAGTTCGCTGGTCGAAGTCATTTGGAGTGCTCCTATGACTTGACGTGGTTGTTGTATCTTGGGAGATGATTGCGAAAAACCGTTAGCACAGATGCGGAGCAAATTCATCTTAAGGACCAAGTGTCAAACACTTGTCTCGACCAAAAATTCATCACTTGCATTTTTCTTCCTGCAGGTTTTTTTTTATTCTTTTGATTTTTTTTTCCGGGAAATGATTAATATTGTTTATATGTTTATGTTGCAAGGTTCGATCAAATGAACAATTTGTTCAAGAATCGAAAGGGATAATCCATATCCATGCATTCAGATTCGGTAACTTTTATATTTTGCTTCTCAAATCCTATTTCGGTAAGTCGAAATTACGTTTCGATTTCACGCAAATAACCGATATACTTTTGTGAATATAATATGCACGTAATCAGTGTAAATTTCCCCAACAATTAATACCCTTAAAAAAATAAAAATAAAAAACATTCTTCCTTATTTATTACGTTGATAATACCTCAAATTGATCAAACCACCCCAGCCAATTTCTCCACCATCTTTGCCTCCACCCATAAGTTTACTTCCGTATCTGACGAAGCTTTCACTTTAACACATACAGATATATACCGGCATCTATATATACACATATAGAGGGACTCGAATTATTGTTCACAGAGGGATCATTCTATCGAGTGGAGAACCTGTATAATTTTTCCAAGAAATGACGATGAGAGCCAGAGCACCTGGAAATAACTAATTCTAATCCAGTTTTCTATTCAGTCCAGGTTAATATTCTCGTTTATGCTACAGATATTCCAATCTCCCAAGAACATATTACTAAGATTGAAAATTTGATGAAAAAATACAATATTCGAGATCCTCACGAGCAGTTAACAGCCAATTATAGTGATCAGAAAGGAAAGTCATCTATGCAGAGTGAAGATAATGGTTATTAGGTTTGCCGGACGTTTTTGGAGACAGGATTCACCTACCTAATGGCATCTGCTCCAGTGATTAACTAAAGGGCCATGCATTAAGCGTTGAAGATGAAAATATGTCTCTTGACAGACTTACAGTGACTCTGTTCATGAGGAATCAATAATTTGCTGCGGCACTATTGAAAAATCTGATGACGCCGATGAGAATTTTCTTGTCGAAGATAGAGAAAGCACTTATTCGAGTGAAGATAAGTGAGAAAATAACTTGTGGCGCCCAATGGGACGTTTTCCATCGGCAATAAGTTGTTCATCCAGTATTTTATTTGAAATTTATTGTTCCCTTTATGGTTTCTAGCTATTGAGTTGTGTAGATACATGTTTTTGTTTTTGAATTCGGATTAATTAGAATATTTTAGTAAAAAAATGTTTTGTCAATTTTTTTAATCCTGGTCAGTTTTTTAATGTTCGTCACTTTTTTTTTTTTTAATTTCTGTCACATTTTTAATGTTTCACTTTTTTAATCTTTAATACTGTTTTAATGTTTGTTACTTTTTTGAAATTTATGTCATTTTTTGAGTGACAAACATTATTTTTTAATAAAAGTTTTACGTCACTTTTTAATAAAAAGTAATGTCACTTTAAAAATAAAAAAAAATAAAAGAAGTTACATTTTTTAATGTTTTGTCACTTCTTTTTTTTTTTTTTTTAAATTTCGTCACCATTTTAGTGTTTGTCACTTTTTTCTTTTTTCTTTTTTTTTTTTTTTTTTTTTTTTTTTTTTTTATCTTCCACAACATTTTTAGAATTTTTATCACTTTTTTTAGTTTGTCTCTCTTTCTAGTATTGTCACTTTGTCGCCTTTTTTATTTTCTGTTATTTTTTTAACCCTTCTAACTTTTTTTTAACATGTCACTTTTTTGAATTTGTTTCTTTTTTAAAATCTTTGTCATATTTTTTAATATTTGTCAATTTTTTCAACCACCTTCTTGATTTTTATCACTTTTTCTTTTCTATTCTTTTTTGTGAAAAACACCGATTTTTAATAAAAGTGACATTGTGTCACTTTTTTAATTAAAAAGTGTCACAATTTTTTATAAAAAGATGATATTGTGTCATTTTTTAATATTACACAGTATTTTTTATTTTCAAAAAACTATTCATATGATTTTTAAAAAGACCCTCTTTTTAAGGGTATTTTTGTAAGTTACCCATGATTTTTTTGAGATCCTTTAAGGCCCAACGAATATATAAAATAAATGTTTAAATTCATAAAAGTTCATACTAATTCAAACTAACAAACTTAATTTGACAATATTTTCTTCAACTCATTTCCTTTTAAAATATGCATCTAAAGTCTCTTACTTTTCTTTGTATCCAAACCAAACTCAACTTCATTTTTAAATTTTTTGCAATGTACATACTGTATTTTCATTTTGTACAAATTAATTATTTAAGATTATAACTGCTTCAAATGCCTTTTTTGAAGAAACAGTTGGTAAAACATAAGTATTATTTGAATCATGATCAACATTGATAGGTTTATCGAGCACCCGTTGAATAATATCTTCATTAGTATGAAATTTCATCACCGCATCGTTTTCACTAAAATAGTTTAAAAGTTGCTCGACATCAATCACATTTCTATAGCGTAGGCCAAATACAGTTTTCACACAATCCATTGATTCCTTCATCTTCACTAACTTTTTGTTCAATATTAATATCTTCGTTTGACTAAATCATACAGATATTTTAACTCATTTCAAATGAAACGGCATAGCAGAAAAAAGGTATGAAATTTGGAAAGATTGGGAGTCCTAAGTTAAAACTAATTACTATAGAATTTTATTCCATGTGTACATGAAATAATTTGAACGATTAATATTTCAAGATATTAAATTTTGAAGCCTTGTACACTAATATTTCCTCTTTAATGTATTTATGTGGGTGCCTTTTTGTGTGTTTACATGTATTATAGGAAAATATAATACAAGTTATAAAAGTATAAAGACTATAAATTAATACATATTCATTTATCGATAAATTAATAAATTATTCATTTATCGATAAATTAATAATCTCTCCAAAATAATAATATTTCTCAATCCCAACATTATTATTTTATAGAGGTTTTACTATAATTTGTAACCCATCATTTTGCATGTTAAAAAGATATGCAAAATTGTACACTCTATATTAATGTGACTATCCAGGTGACACGTGAAATTGTGTATTGATAACATGTGTAACGTAAAAATTAATTATAATTATGAACTCTATAATTTGTACGTATGACATATGTGACCTCTCACAATAATGGTAGGAAAAGAAATTGACTCTTCTCTATTCAAATAATATTGATACACTATGAATCCCATGGTACAATTTGAATTTCAAAAATTAAAATTCAGATATGGGCACATTTAACGGGATTGAGAACAATAAATCATATACTAAACATATATTCAAAATATTTTTAAAAATAACAATACCTGATTTATGAATAAAAGAATATAATACCTATTTTTTATGATGAAAACTTAAAAGCAAATTTTCTCTTAATTTTCTCATAAAAGTATAATAATACTACTACATCATACTGCCATTAACCACATGCTGTGTCGGTATGTTTTCACATTGTCCTAACAAAATTATGTCTCTTGAACTTTTTATTTTTTATTCTTCATCCATCCATATTATTTACATAAGCTTTCTTTGTCAATTTGTGAATCAAATAATTGATGTATTACAAATTGAATGTTTCCTTTCACCGCTAA